CCCCAAAACCCCAAAACCCCAAAACCCCAAAACCCCAAAACCCCAAAACCCCATTATTTCAATTTTGTGATGAAATCTGAGTTTATTTCTGCACTAAAATGATCACTAAACTTTATCACAAAAATCTCTGTTTGCCCCAAAAAGGGCAAATATAATTTTCAAAGAGAAAGTGAGATTATTATTAAATTAGTACTGACTAGAGAAGAAGTTTAGAAACTAAATTGTTGCTATAGAAGCAGTGGCTTCGCCATTGCTTCCACTCTTCAGCATGTACGTAATTTAATATCTCTAAATCATTCCACTTCTCTAGTCAGTGGGCAGGGAATCTATCCTCTCCAAGCGCTTTTCAGGCTCGTCTTCTCACCCATTTCCCGAGGATTTTTGAGGAAGAAGATTCCATTTTTGAATGTCAAACTTCCACCTCTGAATATCCTTTTCATTTTCCTCCTTTCTGCGGTTCTTTGATTTACTCTTGGATGACTGACGAGTGACTCTATAGGAATTGTAAGGTATATTTTCTTTCTTAGAATCACAGACTCTTGGAAGTCAGTGAATGTCTTGTAGAGTTATTCCAAGCTTACCCATTGCTTTTGCTTCCCTTCGAGGACACCTCTCTTGTGGTGGTCCATGCTTGTGTGTCAGAGTCTAATTTCCATCCCTTCTTGGCAAGCTCTTTAGAGCTTTTGGCCTTGATCTCCTCATCGCTCATGTTGTAGAATATATAGAGCAAGGTTTCATCGTGCTCAGCAAAGATCTTGCTAAAATCCATTGTTTTCAGGTCGTCAACTTTGGAATCATTGTAGTATTTGTAAAACGGAGATTTGAACGATTCGGAAAGTTTCCTAAATTTACCATCATTTTCAATTTGTCGAACTAAATCATACCTGTTGTCGTTTAGATCAAGGCCAAATTGGGCTATATGTTTTGATTCAAAGGGACGTTTGATCTCGGTTGACCAAGGGTTCCCATACATGTATTTTTCTACATCGGGGTCATCTCCAAGAAGGAAATTCGAACCCTTCCCTGTTCACCTCTCGTTTACTCCAAAAGGTTTGAAAGTACTAGACTCGGTTCTTCACCTATCCTTGCTTTCCTCGGTCTCGGTCATCTTCCTTGCAGAATTTCCTTGGCTGGCGGTTTCAAGGGAAGACATTGATTTCATATTAAACGTTGGGTCATCTTCATTATTATAAAATCCTCTCCTGCCCTTTTCATTATTGTTTCTTTTATAAGACTTATTATGCCTAGTGTCTTCTCCATTGGTCCATTGCCTACCTGAGCTATGATTATCGTGGGAGTAATTGGAGCTGCTGTTATCAGCGTTACGAGCCTGACGATTGGACGTATGGTTCCCATTGGCAGCCCCATTTATATTAGCATTAGCTCCTCTTCTACCTTTATTTTTTCTGCCTCCTTGGCTTCCTTTGTTACTGTTCCGATTACCAGTTTTCATATAAATGGAATATTATATAATATTTAGTTTTAAAGACTGGGGTTTTGGGGTTTTGGGGTTTTGGGGTTTTGGGGTTTTGGGG